GTCTGGCCAAGTAGATTGCTGTCAACTTGACCTTTCCAGGCTCTGAGGAAGGCGAAATCCGCCGAAACGTCAGCTCATTCATGAGTAAAACGTTTTGTGGTGAGTGATCCAAGGGATTTAGTACTAAGAGTGAATAGAAGATGTAAATTTCGACATTAATGGGAAGTTTGAAACTAAACAATACTTTTTTTCATTTCCCTAACACAATCGCTCTTTTTTTCCCAACGATTTACCCCGTCATCGTGGCTGAGAGGTGTTCCTGGGTGTCAGGCTGCAATGTAAAGCAGGATTCATCCTGGCAAGGTCTCCCAAGTTGAGGACAGGAGTCCGGCGTTTCCAACAGGAAGTCTAGGTAAGAGTGAACCAATACCAGGATCCACCACCGTCCTGGTATTAAAGTCGCGTAGTGGCAAATCTCCCTCTGATCCACAAGCGCTGCGAGTATCCGGACCTGGGGCACGTTGGCCAGACTGGCCTCGGGATTCCAGGGAACCACAATGGCTTAACTAGCACATCTCCGAAAAAAAGTGATTATACTGGGGTCCACGCAACCAGTGAGGACGGGCCGTTCCAGTATTAAGTATCGCACTTTCATGTCATGCGAGCTGCAATCAGAAACGCATCCTTAAATGTAATGGACTAATATAACTTATAAGAATTTGAAACCGCTTCTGCACTTCATTTGACATCACCAAGTATCCTGAGGGTGAATGAATGCATCTCTGACCCATCGACGTGCTGTAAGCTACCGATGTACTATGTCAGTGTTTTCAATCTCGCAAACAAATCTGGTATTAATTCCCTGACCCTGGAGGGATGGACGGCTTGGTTTCCACAAGGCGGAGCTCGACATCGGACCCTGTGTGTAATCCACCGCACCTCTAACAATTGCACTACACGCAAACGTAAATCGGATAATCCAAAAAACACTTATCTGTTCCAAAAATCTTCCCTCTCTTGAATACTTCCTTTGCAGTACAAATTTTATGATAAATTTTGTATTATATAGATAAATTTCCCATGATAGATAGATAGATGTTATATGAGGAGTGGTCTCAGAAGTTATTTTCAAAAGTTTACGCCTTACTAAAACATTTATCGATAGAAACTCCTTCGTCTTCATCGCCAAGTGCCATGGCAATTTGTCTTACTACACAGTTAGTGTTGCGGATGAACACTATCACGCCTCAGCAGACGGATTCCTTTCAAAACAAACGCATTGAGCTCAACACATTCAGGGTAGGTCCATAGTGGAGTCTCCAAAAATTATTTTGAAGGTTTTAGCAGTCTATCTGCAGTCTTTATATTTTGATACATATGTACAACATGTATAATTAAAACAATGTAGAAAACAATGAACAAAACAATTTAGTTGAAGCAATATGTATATTAAAATACCTTAAAAACTCACAACCATACCCCAATTATGGGCTGAGAAAATCAAAACGCTAATGTCAATTTTACCTTAGATCCAAACTCTTCCCATTCCGTAACAACAACCATATTAGGATGCTTGTAACCTACAGCGTCCGCGTTGAACTTGGTGATACGAGAAGTTTTCTCCAGATAAGATGAGTTACACCTAATATGTTTTAGTATCGAACATTTTATCCAAATGATTACTTAAAAGATGGAAATGAGGCGAAAGCCGAAAATGTAAAAAAAGAGTATCATTAAAGTGTTGCACCCACCCGTATCCTATTACCACACCAATCGTACATTCTGGACCATACTTATGACCTGCTGCCGCTAACTGGCCTACGGTATCGTTCATCACTGCTTTGATTTGTGCTTTAGTTGACTAAAAACATAGTTCAAAATTCTCTTAAGTAATACCAAATGATAATTCAAAAGTGATAGCAAATAGAAGACGTAAAACGTTTTCTAAACACATCCGCAACAATGGCGTTCTATTGATTCCACCTCACTTTTCATCCAGCTGTTTCTGTCGCAGTTCTTTGCTTTGTGCTTTGCATTCAATCCACAACTCCTCCATCACAGACATTGTAGCAAGCGCCATCAATGAGAAACTGTTCTACACAGTTGAATCAGAAAACATTTGGGAGATTTATACAGATGTAATTATAATGTAGATATGATAGTTCGCTTCAGAAGCACTTATTGTAATGGATGAACTAGGCACTCACATAAGGCGCATTCGTTAATTTGTACGATCCATTCTTGAACAGATCACAGATCCTTGGAAGTTATTTTCACAACTTTTCATTACAACTTTTATAACTGCACAACCTCTAAACAGAATGCACATCTTAACTCTTTTATTTACTGCCTTTTTCTTCTTTCTTAATGGCAGGTTATGTTTCGAATTATAACTCGTATGAAATGCTGGGATATTTGCAAAACTCCGGACCACAGGTGTATGCAATGGAGAACGAACACGCGCTGTTGTCCTTACGGGGGAGCAGCGTACTTCACCACTACCCCATCCGGATGGTGTAGTAGTGAAGTGCGCTGCTCCCCCGTAAGGACAACAGCGCGTGTTCGTTCTCCATTTCATACACCTGTGGTCCGGAGTTTTGCAAATATCTCAGCATTTCATACGAGAATGCACATCTTCAACTATGTACAACTTCTGCAGTTTGTACTTTTCGTGGTTACTATTAAAATAAAGCGAGCAAAAAATGTACGTGGCATTGGTTGCATTTAGTTCTACTCTGCTCGGCACGACTTGCAGCTGATTTATAGCCGTAATATTTCCTTAACTCCTTATAATGCCCAACAAAAAGCATCTTTTTTCTAATGGAGTCCCTTCAATAACATGGACAAGTGAAGGAGAAGGCACTGCACTTTCTGGAATCAAACTGATATATATATATATATATATATATATATATATATATATATGAATCTCCAACTCATGCAAATGTTCGACTCATTCTTGCAATTGATCCTCCATGCGTCCACTAAACACCTAACCTTTCCAGCCCCTGTGAGATCTTGACTTAGTTGACTCGGGTGATATTTGTAGAACACCATGGGTGTTCTTCTCATCAACAGAATTATAACGTTCCGATACTGTTAGCTATCTAATCTCCTCTTTTTCATTACTGGTTAATGATCTCATGAAGAAGTCCTCTATTCTTTATACACTTGGAAACCAGATGGGATATATTGTGAAGCAGCCAAGACGACATTTCCATACCAATTATCAGTGGACGAATATCTTTTTTCATAAAACTAGTCGTTGATGATCCCACCAACAACTCAACCATATTTCAATTCTAAAGATATCCTCACGCATGCACTATATGTGTGACCACAAACTCTGTACATTTTGAATTAGTTGCTGCAAATCTTGTTTCATACGGAATGTAGTGGGTGAAACCAACTCTTTCTCCAAAAGCAACAATGGACTCGTCAATAAAAATATCTTTCACGGGAATGTTTATTTCTCATGTAATTCAACAAATGCTCCAATATGTTTATGTGTAATTGTAGCAAGTATTTCCCACAATGGGAGAGAACCAATGGGCGTTTAACTATGTTTGCTGTTGAACCAATAGGATTAGATTTATGAATAGAATAAGCACATCAGTGATCGCTCCACCGTAAAAGTTTAACATTTCCTATTCGAAAGCACAGACCGACAAATCCTCTCATCGTCAGTTGCCACTTTCCACGACTGACCATCCTCTTACCCGTAATATGTTGTACTCTTGTAAGCAGATTTTGCCAGTTATAAAAACTTCGCAAAATTGCATTGATTCAGTGCTTCAAAGAAGTAGTTGGTGTACTTAAAAACGGCTACTATCAGCTAGCCAAAGATCATAAGCACCATAATGCTTTACCACGCACTGCGCTGCCTACCTCACGCTTCGTTTCTATCCTACAAATCGCTCTCCTCTGATTCCTCGTTTTGGAGAGTCAACATATACCGTACCCTCGGCGTTCTCGCTTTCAGTCTCTTGCTTACCACTCTTGATGAAAATTCCATCGAGACCGAATTTGAATTAGTCAGTTTACATTATTCAAATCTATAAGGTTCAATTACTGTTGAACAATTTACAGCAGTCGCAGAATGGATATAAAAAACGATGGAAGTCTGGAAGTCCACAAACGAGCGGTAAACACCTTTTAAAAACATGAAAAAAGATATAGAAAATATGGCATGTAAAATTTGGTGGTAACAAAGACTCATGGAAAACAGAATAATAAAGTGAAGAAGACGAAGGATGTAGGCATTATGGAGGATAGCGGACGATGCGAATTAATTTAAATGCACACCTCGCGGTAAAACGTGAGGCGTTGTCTAATGCGACACCTATAGAAAATGAGACGCAGCAGCGTATCAGTTCGGAAAAAGCTAAATAATGTTGGATTGTAGTAAAATATTAAACAGCAAATCCTTAAAGCAATTGCTAATTATTCCCATTCCCTACAGTAATCCTTAACTAAACAAAAAATCGTACCATGTTCATTTCCAAGGCTTCTTCCAAAAGTTGAACAACGTCTTTCTGAAGACAATCCTTGATATCGAAACCTTTCGTCCACCATAATAGGCGAGCCGATCGAATCGACAACAACTCACAAGGATATGAGAAAACGAAACCTTAAAGTACTCAGAATGAATGGCCATATCGTAATCGTCGCTAGAAATTCGGAATAAAAACCTGGAATGACTTTAAAGAATGACTCCCACGTCCGACTTTCTATTAACCTGGGCATTGATTGAATAGTTCTTTCTACTTCTGTCCAGCAAACACGAGGTGTTATTTTATTTCTTTATTTATCGGTTAGTGATAAGGGTGGAGAGTCCGTTGTAATTCCCCATCAGTTAGATGTTGAGATAACGGAAAAGCACCTTGAAGACACGTCCCTTTATCGTCCGTCGTCTGAGAAGTAATTTGAAAGTCAATACCGAAAGTTAAACAACGAATGGGTTAAAGTGGAAAGAGCGGCTGGGTTAAAACCAACAGCTATCTCTCATCTCAAAATTGACTTACCAACATATCCCGTTCTGTACTTATCAAAACCTATAAGCTAGTACCTTTCGACGTTACTGCTCTTTATACGAAAGTGTCGAATGACTCCGCTATGCAAGCCAACCACGAGCTCCTTATATAACACGAAGGAGCAATAAACATGTACGGATTCTCGATTCAGCAGTTGATGACACTCTTAAAGGAGAGCCTAAACCTCTCAATCTTCGGATGGTCCGGGAGGAATTGCGCACAAATGAGAGGGCTGGCAATGGGACAACGACTGGCACCAAGCCTTGCCATTGCATTCATATCTAAGATGGAAGCGCCAGTAATCGACCTCGGTCCGTTACTCTACTGTAGATATATAAATGACTGCATGGTCATTTGTTCAACGCAAGAAGAAATCGACAGATATTTCTAGCTGTTGAACGAACAGTTAGAGTATATTAAATTTACCCAAGGGACACCAAAAGAAAACTGGCTTCCATTTCTGAACGTGAAAATTAACTTATCAGAAAACGGCTACATTACGAAATAGTATCGAAAGCCAAGTAGTAAAACATCTTGGTTCATCACCTCTCCTCTCATTCCTCTCACACGAAAAGGGCGCTTGTGAGAAACATGTTTCGAACGGCAACCAACGTGTGCACAGGAAGAGAGCAGAGGTAGGAGTCCCGGAACTTAGCGCGGCAAATAGCCATTTTTCATGGCTACGAAACCGTAGCTCGAGATAGGTGTAGAGGAAACCACAGGTAACCCGACGATAACTCTAGCGACAACAAGGTCCCGTTTATACTGCCTTTCATTTCAAATGAAGTAAGTGCAGCTATAAAACACTGTTTAAGAAGGACCGATTTAGAGAATTCGGTAACGATAAATGAAATACCACCGAGTAATCTAAGGTGCCAGCTAGTTCGTAACCGCCTATACGACCGTCTATGTGCAATCCAAAATTGCATTATTTGATAATTCGCCCCAATGGTAGAGACGGTGACTGCATGAGTTCGGGTACAGTCTATCTGATCTCTTGTAAAGCGTGCGGGGACGAATACGTTGGCGAAACGGGTAGACCACTCTGCGTCCGTATAAAAGAACACCTAGTCAGCAAACATAAACCAAATACTCCACTACGAACGCATAGGACGCAAAGACATAACGGAGAAGATTTTGAAGCAGGGGTTACGATCCACGCGCAAGAATCGAGAACTCAAGCGCGCAAAACTCTAGAGACATTCTGGATTAATTCCAAGAATCCGAAAATGAACTGCAGGGTGGAATGCCTCATTATAACGCGTGATACTGAGCAGTATATAAGCCTGTTATTTTGATGAGATTGGCATAATACTATTTCGGGTGAACTCTGTGCGGTTGGTCTCCACGTAACATATTTAGTGGAAGACACATAGAAAGCCGTGAGTATGTAAAGACTCTGTGTTCACTATGATTGAAATTTCGGTTCAGCATCTTCTCTGTTCGGTTAAGGAGGTGTCTGACCGTGTAGATGGCAGTCAACGTGACTTTTCCAGGCTCTGAGAAAGGCGAAACCCGCCGAAACGTCAGCTTATGCGTAGATAAAGAAATAAAATAACACTTCGTGTTTGCTGAACAGAAGTAGAAAGAATGACTCCAAAGGAACTTGTACTGCGAAAATTTCTGACATTTTATCTCAGAATAAAAGTGCAGCAGCAATGCCTGAAGGTGCCGAGTTAAGGATGAGCATTCGCAACGCTCACGGAGACAGCCAATTACAATACTTACAATACCCTCGGCTCCTTCACTGAATACTCACTGCATTCAGAATCTAGAAGGAAAATGGAGAAAATCACACACAACTCCCCTCGCACGATTTTCTTGACGGTCACGTCCACCAGCCTATACATCAGGCAGAAAAGGATGGATAATTATTTCCAGCGACTCTTCGTTCCGAACTGAAAGATGCTGTCTGTTCGGTGGACAACCGTACAGAGCCTAACCCTGACAGGATTCAAATCTGAACAGCTGAAAAACCTACTACTAGTCTTCAATAATACAGTGGCGAGACTTTTCCCGCCCTATCTATTAAAATGTACGGCTTCGAAGCAATGGTAAGCTGAACCCAGTCATAATTAATAAAAAGAAGAACTACATGAACCGGCAACTATCGACCGATCTGATTGTTGTTCACCATCTACAAGTTCTTACATTCTAATCATTTCGAAGAGGACTGAGAGCACACTGGAAGAAACACACAGTCATTTGAGCGAGGAAAGCTACCAGGACTCACTACAGTGGATCACATTAACACCACAATTATCACAACCCAACTCAATGACGTATCGCGACTGTACAAGAAACCTCTGGTCTCATTTATATCGACTGAAAGACAAATAAAAATAAGATCTCCCAGTCCATAAAGCGAGCAGATCCCGCGAAGCTACTCCTGTATCCCACATGAACAAATGTTGAATTTACTGGCTTGTGCTGGACTCAGTCGACGAATTACAGAACTACATCTGCTACAGGTGATACCGAAAAACAAGCACCGTCTCGAAAGTGCTTAAAAAGGTGAAAAAGAGTTATGTCATCCCAAAAAAAAAAAAACGGGCAAAAATACATAACTGAAAAATGCAAGCTATGGTGAACGAGAACACGGGAAGGAGTAAGATTCATGACACATGTTACTATCTAATTGCTGAAACCTGAAATGAGTTTAACAATGGAAAAAAATCACTCACCGATAGGAAGATTTGCTTCAACGAGCCCAAACTCTTGCAAGAACCTTTGCAAACAGTTAACAATGAAAGTGAACAGCTGCAACGGAAAAATAATAAAAAAGTGTTCACGTAGAAATGCGGCGCGTTAAAATCGGCAACATATATAATGCCAATAAAGCAAGAAGAAGAACACGTTTAATAGTAAAGTGTTTACAGCAAAGTGCACATGTTGTGGTCGAGCTGGTCAGTGGTCATTGGGAGCCCACGTGCGTATCGAGAGGATGCATATGAGTGAAAGAATCGAGCTGCGTAGGGATCATTTTTCGCAAACAGATTCTGTAGTAAACCAGACGTCCTCTAATATCGCAAAGGAGTTCAGAGAACATTTCCACGCCATCGATACTAATTCTATTGGTTGGAAAAGTTTAAAAAAAACTATACTGAAGTTGATTGCCGTGAGAAATTGAAATTTAATGCTCTCAAAAGAGTAGAAGGTACACTTTCGTTCTATTAGAGGAAACGATGAATAGAGCTTGAAGTAAGGGTCAGTTTACATAGGTTTAATTACATCAAACCATATACCCAGTGCAAGACGAGCACAGAAAACGGGCCCTACTCAGGTAAAAATGTTTGTGAAGAAATTGACGTTAGATGGTCTTAAATTATGAAGAACAACATTCCATGATGCGCTAAAAAATTAAGTTATGGTTAAGTGGCCGGAACGTAGTGTCAAATAAATGTTATCAAAATTCTGTATGGTTAATAAACTAGTACTGATTTTAGTTAACAGCGTTCAAACCTTCTCGAGGCTTTTTGATAAATGCCAAAAACCCTACAATGAATAGCAGCGATGAATGCCCGAAGGTCATACGCGACCTGACCCCGTATGTTCGCATCGATTTCTGATATGGGATGGTCCAGTCATCAACCATATGCGACCACAATCAGCTGTTCCAAACTTCTACATTGGAAGTCACGTAAAAAGCGGTGAGTTTCTCGAGCAGCTGTTGATCATGCAATCACCATAGAGTTTTTCGTCTTTTGTAGGTGGTATTGAAGCGTTTGGTCTAGTAGATTGTATATCAGTATACCCTTCCAGGCTCTGAAGAAGGCGATACTGCCGAAACTTCAGCTAGTGTTGTATTGTATCGTGTTTCTCTATGGAAGTAAATGTATGCTGTTTGAAAACCTTGCGATTGCTGAACAAGAAAACGAAGCGTTCAGACAAACGATCTTCCCTAGCTTATAAGCAAAAAAGGAGCCCATTATACGTGAAACTATCACGTGCCTTCACAATAAATTAGTAAGCGATATTTTATTTGTTTCAACAATCAATTATAACGGTTGCTAAGGAACGATTGGACATAATAACATTAATCTCTCCCAACCAATAGAAATAATACGAGGAATGCTGTGAGACCACGAAGCTCTCCGTTACTTATGGTTCTTTGGAAGCTAGCAAAGCCTAAAGTGTCAAAAGGAGACAAGAAAAAAAGAATTGAAAACTAACCTGGTCTCCGGTACCTTTCATAACATGGTTAGGCACAATGTAGTTATTACTAACCGCAGTTGGTTCACGGCCAGTACCTCTAAGTGTGAGAAGCATTATACGTAAATTCTTGCCAGAAAGGTCGATTGCTACGTATTGACCCTCCTCTGAAGAAGAAAAAGCAGCGTTAATACCTATAAAAAACTAGCACGGTTATATCACACATTAAAACTTTATAATAAAGGATAAAGCTTTCGACGTTGATCTATTCCAAAGGCATGCGCCTTGCATTGTACTTCATTAAGCATCGTTGGAGGTGATTGAATACGTATCTGGCCTTTACAATGACTCGCGGTGGTCTACTGGTGTATCGAGCCAATGCTGCTATCCTCCCAAACAAGTCTGGTACCAACTTGTTGACCCCCGAGGGATGGAAGGCTTGGTGAGCCTGGGCGCGGGATCGACTCCATGTGTATTGCAGGGCGCCTCTGACAACTGCGCTACATGTGCACAATAAGTTAACAGTGCATCAAAATTCAACCCAATATGAAAGGATATACCAACAATTCACCTGAACCATCTGGCAAAGCAGGGACATACGAAGGAAGCATGGCTATTGAAGAGCCGTTGACACTGCTAAGACCCGCCTTCATTTCGGCTTCAATTTTTGAACTGATGATATGCAAATCATCGTTGCTTATAATAAACTGCTTCAGAACCTAGAAATTAAAGATGTTTTGAAGGTCCACTTACTTGGAAACCGTCTTACCTCCTGAACTTCTGTGCGTTCGAACCTCATTTCCATATTATTCTACTGTATAAATTGAGCAAAACTAGTTACAATGTGTAACTAGCTCTAGATGATCCCGATAAAACGGCTTGTCCTCAAAACAAATACACCTCAATGATCGCCACTAACACTCCCACATAAAGAAACGCACACGTTAGTAGAATTTCTTCAAAAACCAACATCCTTTCAAGGTGTACTTAGGAGTAACGCCCAAATTAATGTAAGAGTATGAAACCATGTCGAGCTTAGTCAACTGCTCTGTGTTTTATAAGATTAAAAAGAATGATCAAGAACCCTGAGATTGACACGCCTTAGCCGCATAACGGGTTGTTAGGAAATTAATGGCTGATTACAACCTGTAATTTTAAAGGGGCTCGTCTTAACTCGAAATAGATTTTACGAGTCCAGATGAAAACCATTTGAATCTCCATATTTTTGTCAATGTGAAATATTGATAGAGGTCTCATAGAGGCCTGTACTTCTGCGGACGATGAAGTCACTGTAGCTAGTTTCGGCTTCGGCTTGGTTTCTGACGTACTTCTCGTACAGGAAGTAAATCCTTGAAGCGCTGTCTGTCCAGCCTAGCTTTTAAATTGTCGATATTGCGAAATGTGACCAGGCCTCGGTAGTGTGTGCTGTCGCCAATTCGTACAGTATTCATTCGCTGAACTTTCAGCACCTTCAAACCTTGCTTAGATGCTCAAAACAGTTCAGAGGGTTACATTGGGTTCTTTCGTCGGTTCCCAGACTGTTGTGCTGTATTTGCTTCTACCGAAGCCTTCAACTCACCATCGTCATCGCTGGTGCTCTCCTTCATCTTCAACATCGAATTCACCATCATGAAAATTTCCGAACCAATATTGCACTGTGCATTGCCTAACCCTTCCTTTGTCCCATATCTAGTTAATATTCTGGACCGCCTCCAATGCGTACGACCGAATCTGAATTCGTAGGAGTACAGACGTCGAGACTGACGTTATGACACCCCCAATTCTAACCCTTAGAACTTGCCAGATATGTAAATTATACTATAATTCAATTAATCTGGACGAAAGTCCATAAAATGAGTCCTGAATGGACATATAATAGTTCAACTTTAAAAAACTGTTCCTAAAACACTTTCAGGAAAAACGAAACTACAAATCCACAGTTATTTTCGGAACAACCCAATAAGTTACGTGGAACTTGAAGTAGCGAAACAGATACTCGCAGCAATCGTACAGGACCGTGGTCCTTATGGTCTTTTTACTCTAAAACACCATCCCAATGTTAAACCCATGTTTTACCCCTGATATACAGAATGTGGGAATATTAGTAACTTGTTCGTATTGGAAGTGTAACTCCTTTATGAAAGTGGGATTCGATTTTTTGCAAAACAGGAACTGCAAGGCCAAATCGGCAATTCTCTTAACTACAAAGAATTAAGGTTCTAAAAGTCAGATAAACACCACGACGTGTACAGAATGTAAAGAAAGAGAGCACAAAGCGAAGGTGACATAGTGTCAGATGAAATACTAAGCATATGAAACTTCTAGTAGTCAGACGAATTTTGTGAAAGCCAGAAAGGATATAGCGTTTCAAGTAGTTAAAAATAATCAGACTTCTCACGACGCAGCCACACTACCAACACAAAAGTCTGACCACATTCGTGGATGATGGTTCAAGGAAAGAAACAGAAGGAAGTGCAGAGAAGCGGATGACGTGTGACGGACAATCTGGTATACATACATGTATATACACACATGTATACACATATATGCAGTGGTAGTGGAAGGCCATGCAGGTTTTCAACTCCTTAATAACTTCAGAAATTTAGTTATCGAAGAGCTACCGATATGTACTGTGAAGCTTGTCCAGTCCTCGATGTGTTAAAATTCCGAACAAACCAAATATGTTTGCAAGTGGAAAAACATAGCACGCTAAACGAAAAAGTGAAAGAAAAAGCTAGGTCCATGGGATATTATCCATATGTATACTTCTGACGAACATATGGAAGGAAAGGATTGATAGGACACCGCCCAGCCTTCACCTTGGCTGTGGTAAATTCGTTATCAGTGACATGATTGGAACTGTTGTATAACTGGCGTCTACAACCTGACATTTTACAACGGCCACACATCGAACGAGACAATCAAGTCGTTCATATGTTGAACGGAATGAGCTTTCATGCAGACAATATGAACATAGCGAGCCTTGACAGAGAGAACATGTCTAGGCTTAAACTTTCAAATGGACCAAGTGAATAAGGGTATTATATAGCTATGAAGGATAAGAGAATTTAACCTCAATGATGGACAAACTCCACATTGTCACTACCTATCTGAAGAGACGGAATCAGCAGCTACTGTGCAGCAACGTGACTGTGCTGTCCACTCGGTCCGCATCGTTTAAAGGTCAAGCAAAGGGCGTTCACGACGACGTCACTCGACAATGTGCCCCATTTGAAGCGCGATTTCCACGAAGTTGCATCATAGATTTTTTTCGACAGTCCTCTTCGATGGAAATCTACCCGCTCATTAGCGACGATATCGGAAACAACAAATGCGGATACACCTAGGCAATCCAGAGGAATACTGGACGTTTGTCAAGAGATTCCAGACGCCACCTAACACAGCAGTGGATTTCGATGCTTGTAGGGGTGCTACCCAATGCTTCGACAACAAAAAATGATAGGCACCTCTCAAAATCGCGTTCGGCACGAACATCACAGAATCCTAGAAAGAAACTCGGAAAACTGATAATGGATCAGTAGGCGCGGATTGTTAATCCGATCGGGTGGCGCGGTAGGGTTAGTTCGTTGGCTTAGGCTTACCATCTAGGGATTTACTTTAACCTAAGCAGTTATGAAATAGGTTTCGATGATGGGTTAACGAGACAGGAACGTCCGAAAACGTAGTATATGCTACTGTGTAAAGAGGAGGGGCAGAGTATAAATGCCGCCTCGTGCTCCCGTGAATGAAAACGCGACTGGAGCGCGATTGCTGTCCTGTGTTCCATCGGGATCGACATGCTTCTCTTGCTGTACAACTTGTTTTTTCCACACTAAATCACTTGTTACACTTGTATTCTGTGTAATATATGCTCTTTTATAAATAGACGCCACGTCTAGATGACGAACAACTCAGGACCGTCGACTCGCATCATCGGCTCTGAGGGAGACGAAGACGTCGTGACGCTAGCCGAATAAGGCCGCATATCATCCTCGTGTAAGCTCAGCAATTTAAATACTTCTGTAAGTGTTTCATCATCGCGCTGCTTTTTCTGAAATCAGCTACTTTGACCTTTTAACAGCGAAAGTCATAGTTTTGGTTTAGGCATGGTAACTACTGGCTTTCAGTAAAGTACCTGGAATGGATTTTGGAAAACGAAAGAAAGCACTGGCGGCTCCAATTGCGAAGACACCCAATGGGTCGAAACAGGTGGCATTCATAGGCTTTAGTTAGTATTTCAATGTTTGATTCGACATAACTCTTTTATTTACTGCCTTTTTTCTTCTTAATGGCAGGGTATGTTGCGAAATATAACTCGTATCTTTCTACTTCTGTTCAGCAAACACGAGGTGCTATATTATTTCTTTATTTACGCACAAGCTGACGTTTCGGCGGATTTCGCGTTCTTCAGAGCCTGGAAGGGTCAAGCTGACAGCATTCCACTCGGCCAAACACCTCCATAACCAAACAGAGAAAACTCCAAACCAAGATTTCAATCACGTTTAGCATAGCTCTGCACACTCACCGCTTTCTATGAATCTTCCACTGAGTATGTCGCGTGAAGACCGACCGCGCAGAATTCACATGGAAGCGTAATGTGCCCCTCCCATCAGAATAACATCAGGTGTATGCGGTGGGGAACGAACACGCGCTGTTGTCTTTACCGGGGAGCAGCGCACTTCACCACCACACCATCCGGGGTCCACACCTGCGGTCCGGAGTTTTGCAAATATCTCAGCATTACATACGAGTTATATTTCGCAACATACCCTGCCATTAAGAAGAAAAAAGGCAGTAAATAAAAGAGTCAAGATTGTGATTATAACTAAGTCTCAGCTTAACTGGGTTCAATGCCGATTTCGGCTCCCCAGATCAATCCCGTTGACGGGTGATTGCTGATGGCAAAGAAATCGATAGAACTAGCTGAGAGACAGGCAAAATGAAGGACCCGGATGGTGTGGTGGTGAAGTTCGCTGCTTCCCGGTATGGACAACAGCGCGTGTTCGTTCCACACCGCATACACCTGCGGTCCGGGGTTTTGATTCGACTATTCAACTGTCATCCCACTTGCTGTCTGCGGAGGAGTGGGGTCAACTGCTGATCATTGCTTTCTGACTCTGAGTTTCAGCTCGAGTTCACTCATGTCAGATCGTAGTTTGTGGTCTACCTGCTGCGTGTGTAGCGCAGTGGTCGAAGGCGCCCTGCAATAAACATGGGATCGATCCCCGCGCGCCTTCCACCCCTCCGGGGTCGGCAATCATGCTTGTCTGGAAGGATAGCAGTGCTGGCTGAATACATCGGTAGGCCACCTCAGGTAATTGTAAAGACCAAATATGCACTCATTCACCTCTAACGATGCTTGACGAAGTCGGATGCATGGCGCGTCCCTCAAGGATTGATCAACGCTGAGAACTCTATCCTCTATCCTTTACCCTTTATCGCGGAAATGGCTACTAAATTCTTAGATCGGGTATTCTAAGTCGCACACATAGTCTAATGTGATCAAGATTCCTGTTTGTTAATGAAATGAGTGTCAACCATCGTCCCTTTCTGCGTCTGCCACCGTCCATCTTCAGTTAATCATCGAGAATTCAAGTGTTCGAAGATATAAGCAGCACCACTTCTCTGATAAAGAGTGTTTTGCTACTATTGTTTACGAGAACTTAGGACTGAAATGCGCCTACGACCATGTAGTTATGAACCGTATTGGTTCATTCTTCCATGTGAATTCTATGCGGTCGGTCTTCACGCGATATACTCAGTGGAAGACTCATAGAAAGCGGTGAGTGTGCAGAGCTTTGCTAAACGTGATTGAAATCTTGGTTTGGAGTTTTCTCTGTTTGGTTATGGAGGTGTTTGGCCGAGTGGATTGCTGTCAACTTGACCCTTCCAGGCTCTGAGGAAGGCGAAATCCGCCGAAACGTCAGCTTGTGCGTAAATGAAAAAATAAAAATAGCACCTCGTGCTTGCTGAACAGAAGTAGAAAGATATATCCTCCATCACCTTTTTACTAGCAAAGTCCCTACATTTAAGTTTTATGTTAGGCGTTGATCAATTCCTGAGGGATGCGCCATGCATTCGACTTCATTAAGCATCGTTTGGAGGTGATCGAATGCATATCTGGCCTTTATAATGATTCCCGATGGCTTACCGATGTATGATAATAACCGAACCAGTGCTGCTATTCTTCCAGACAAGTTTGGTACCAATTTGGCGACCTCGGAGGGATGTACGGCTTGCTGAGCCACGAGCACCCAGATCGATTCCATATGTACGTGTCGCAGGTTGTTTCCGACCACTGCGCCAAACGCGCAACAAGTTTTATCTTACCTATTTTAACTTCAACTTTGATTTAATTACTGATGAATTTATCGGCAATCTTGCAGAAACATCGTTCAGCAGAGCCATCTATTTTAGCAACCGAAGAAGCACCGAACTGTGAGTACAGATCAACAAGCTCCATCATCTGCGCTTGATGACCGAGTACCCAATATATCCGAGTTTTCCTTGCCGTCTTCCACAAGTGAATTAGTACAGCCATTTCAAAAGTAGGTCATAGCAGTAGTTTTCTGTTTTGTTTCGATACGATCTTTATGTTCCAGGCAACTTAACCTTGTTAGCGACGATGGAGATGGACCGAGGAACCGCTGTCCAGTATTGAGTCCACCGGCCAACGTAGAAATTGCAGAAAGCTCAGCTTCTGAAAGTTAGCATAGAAATTTGTGTTTGCTTGAGCCATGTGTTATATTTGTGTAACTCGTAGCATTCGACAACACAGAGCAATTGTGTTCGTTGTGATTTAGCAGTTAGGATTTCAGCATTTGAACAGCCAAACCCAGATGATTTTGTGGGTCCAAACGATAATAGAGAAGATGCTCGAATGGGCGAGGACGGATATCCACTCATTGTTGATTTGGGAAGGAGGTTAAGTTTAAGCGTGAACTGTCTTCTGATGCTATATGTTTCATGCGTAGAAGTTTAGTGAACGTCAGACTCGTTTGGCGCGTCAACGCCTCATCGACGAAGTGATTCAGGAGCAAGCTTTCGATCAGGTTTGTTTTTACGATAATTTGATTGAAGTTGAATGTCGCATTATGAACGAAATTACGTTGTGAACCATTGCACTGCTTCCTTCCTGTCCTTATTCTTTTTTTTTTTCTGCGTGAAAACGGGTTTGAATAGAAAGGCATGAAGTCGTTAAAGGAATGCAGTTATTCAAGTGCCATAAACCTCGAGAGATGAGATTTTATTGCATTATTAGTATCCATTGTTCATTACTCCTTACTTGGATATTTGGATGAAATAATCTCCACTTTTTCGCAGTATTGCTGGTTTAGCCATTGTGATTTCCTGGAGTCCCGAGGTCAGCCAATCCAAAGTCTGCCCCAGGTCGTCACCACTGCAAACAGTCGCCGCCCTTGTTGATCGGAAGGAGATTTGCCACCATACTAGTTTGACACCGGGACGGTGGTGGATTCTAGTATTGGTTTACTCTTAGCTTGGCTTCCTGATGGAAACGCCGGGCTCTTTTTCAGCTTGGGAGACCCTTTCGGGGATAAATGAATCGCTGTACATCGCAGCCCTACACCATGATGGGGCGGTAAACCGTTGGGAGGTGTATTACTCCTCACACATTAAAAATATGACGTTTTGCTTTCAAGAAAGCTTTCTAGCTTTTGACCACGATTTTAATTTAGGATGTGATTGAGGAGTTAGAACGTGCTAATATGCGTCGTGTATTTGAAGACATAGAACAGAGCGAAGACGGAGAACACTTGGTGCAAAGGCGCCGTGCTACAGCTAACGGCATAGTGTAAGATAGTTTCTTTATATTTTGTCATTAGTGTAGCGTAAGCAAAGTTATGTCTGTTCTTTTTTTGCTAGGAAATTATGGGTATAACTTGATTTTGGACTGTAAGTAGAACAGCGATATAATGTTGCTCTTATAAATTGGTCCTCGTTGTGCAAGCTAAGTCCTACAACTGCAGGCTGCATTTTTCAGCTTGAAAATGTTCTGCTGCTTTTATAATTATCCGCCATTGTATTAATACCGTTGTTTTTTGTCACCGATTAAATATGTCAGATATCAGTTGTTTCCTGGAGCCTTACTGTATTTGTGTTAGGGTAACCTTAACTTTACTTTCTTTTTCAGGAGCGGTGAAGACTCCCTCACTCCTCGGGTCGAAGCTGCAATTGCAAATTATATGGTGCGCAAATATGCTGGTACGTTTCTTACATGTTGTCCAGTTGCTTTCGCTTTATAGCAACCCATTAGTCTTTCTTGCGTTTTGGTAGTTCTAAAGTAAGTGCAGTATTTCATAAGGCAGTCTAGATCCTGCAAATAATAGTCAAATTGGCGTCCACATGGAAGAGAGAGACGAACCTGGGCCATCTTCACTACAGCTTGACAGACCAGTCAACATTCTTCCAGGTCATGTCTGCTTGTCTGAATGTAGTAGAAATTTAGGAAGCTTTTATTGAATGAGAAAAAATATGGCAACGAGAGTTCCTGCATCATCATGTTGGAAATTTCAGCCAGTCGTAATCTTGTGGAACGCCCTGTGAACAATCTCATTACGATAGGGCGACGGGCCAGTCCCTTAGCTGAGCACCGAAATCCACGAGGATTTAGCGGTATATTTCTACTTACATATTTTTGCTACTTGAAAGAAAAGAATTAATTTTACTGATGATTTTTGTGTTTCGCGTTCGGACTACTTTTCATTTGTTTTCATTTCAATCAGTTTTGTTTCTTTTCGATATCATGAATTGTATTATATAACGTTGTTATACCCTCCCAACGGTTTTCCTCCTGATCATGACTGGGAGGTGTTCCTGGGTGTCGGGCTGCTATGTACAAAGGGTATTCGTCCCCCGGCAGATATCCCAACGTGGGGTGGTGACGACGTGGGGCAAACTTTGGCCAAACTAACCTCGGGACTGGAGTGAATCACAGTGGCTAAACCAGCAAAACTCCGAAAGACGGAAATTCTGTTGGGAACTCTACAACTAGTGAAGACTGGCCATCCAAGTATCCAAGTAACGTTGTTATACAATCCTCATGTAGTTATGTTTACAGTGTAGTGCTAGGTTATTCCATTATTCTGAAAATGAATATAGGAGTCGATTTAAGGTATGTCTTGGCGGGCGGCAAATGCTGTCGATGATAGTCCTCTAGGATGGCAAGGGGCGAAAAGTACACTAAAGGAGAGAATAAGCTACATGTATTGCAAGGATGTTTTGGCCGACGTTTATTTCATAGTGGGAAAGGACGATATGAGACAGGTTCAGTATTCATTAGTTTGCAAAGATACATTTGGTTTGTTTTAATACGCTGATCTTCTGCTAGAACTGTTTCTGGTCCTCTTTTCGTCCATAGATTTTTTTAAGAGAATTCCTGCTCATAAATTTGTCCTTTCGGTTGGTTCAGTAGTTTTTGACGCAATGTTCAACGGCGGTCTCACGCCACAGAATTCTAAAGGTTTGTTCGAACTTTTTTTCCACGACCGACTTTCTATTAACCTCGAATAATTCACTGTTTCCTTGACTAGCAATCACAAATTTGTTACTTTGTTCTTCACTTACGAACAAGCTGGCGTTTCGGCGGATTTTATTCGCTTCAGGGTCTGGAAAAGTCGAATGGACTGCAATCTACTAAATCAAACGCCTCCATAGTCAAACAGAGAAAGTATTAAGCAAACAAAATAACTTCTTCGCACACTCACTTCTTTCCGTAAATCTTCCATTGAGTATTTAACGTTGAGAAAAACCGCACAGAGCTCACATGAAGGCGTAACGTGCCTCTCACATTAAAATATGTCTTGAATACTGTGTGAGATTAGGCGTGGTAATGAGGCGTACCTCTCTGCGGTTCATTTTCTGATTCTTATAGTGTATCCACAATGCTTCGAGAGTTTTGTGCGCTGGTGTTTTCGATTCCTGTGCGGGAGTGGTAAATTCTACTTCGAAATCTTCCCGTTATGTCTGTGTGTCTTATGCGCACCGAATAAAGTATTTGGTTTAACTTTAAGTTTACCGACTAAATGTTCCTTTATAAGGTTGCAGAGTGGTCTACCCTTTTAGCCACTGTATTCGTCCATGCACGCTTTACATTAGATCAAATAGATTGTACTCGAACTCATGCGATCGCCATCTCTGTCGTTAGAGCATATGCAAATGCGTTATGCAAGTTCGTGTTGTGCATAGACGGTCATACGGATGGTTGCGAAGTAGCTGGAGTCATAGAATGCTAGGTGGTATTTCAATTACCGAATTACTAGATCGGTCCTTCTTGAGCAACTTTTAATAGCTGCACTTATTTTGTCTGAGATGAAAGGCGGGATAAACGGGACCTTATCACTGTTAGAGTTATCGTTTGAGAGCTTGGGTTTTCCTCTGCGCCTATCCCGAGGAGCTACAGTTTCGTAGCTATTAGAAATGGCTAGTGGCCGCGTCAGTTTCGGGGACTTTTCGTTCTGCTCTCTTCCTATGCACACGATAGTTGCTGTTCGAAACATATTTCTTATAAGCCGCTTTTAGGGTGTGATACGTGAGAGGAGAGGTAGTGAACCAGTATGTCTTTACTACTTTGCTTTCGCTTCAATTTCGTAATGTGGCTGTTTTCGTCTTATTTATTTCTATATGGTATCTTTATCCATTGTGATTTCGAATTACGTCTAATGTTCTGGTTTTAAAATTGCTACATCAAACTGTCAAATAGACATATTTTGTTGCAGGTTTTACTCTTTTCTTTAGATCCATTGGAAATTGAATTGCCCGACGTTGAGGTCCCAGCATTCCGTTCACTTCTTCGTTTTCTTTATTCTGATGAAGTTGAAATAGGACCGGAAAGCGTGATAACTACGCTTTATACAGGTTTTTTTTCAAAAAGAATGCTTCAAATTCAAACAGGTGTGTCTTTTTCTTGAAATAGTAGGCCTCACATTATTGCTTCTACAGCGAAGAAATACGCTGTGCCGGCGATGGAATCTGCATGTGTTGAGTTTCTTAAACAGAATCTTGGTGCGGACAATGCGTTTATGCTACTTACACAGGTCGGAATTTGGTGTAAACAAGCATTTACAGATTTTTATGATCTATATATCACCTATTGCTAGGCACGCTTGTTTGATGAGCAACAACTAGCCAAGCTGTGCCTTGAGATCATTGACAAAAATACATATGACGCACTGAATGGTGAAGGTATATGTCTTGTTTAATCATTTCTTCGTCAGGTTGTCGCAGAAGATTCCTGTGCTCATCTCAGTAATTGTAATCTCAGTAATCTCAGAAAAAAAACCTGCAGACGCTTTTCTTTCATTGTTGTTGTTTTAACAGCTCTAAGATCTAAAGTTTTCGGTGTTCATCTATCACTGAGGGATGCTCCATGCATTGGACTTCATTAAGTATCGCTTGGAAATGATTGAATGCATATCTGGCCTTTACAATGACTCACGGTGGCCTACCGATGTATCGAGCCGGTGCTGCTAACCTTCCAATCAACTCTAGTACTAATTTGTCTATACCGGAAGAATGGAAGGCTTGGTGGGCCACGGCGCGAGAGAACCGATTCCGTGATATTACAGGGCGCCTCCGACCACTGCACCACACGCACCCCTTTGTGACTAGAGCTTTAAAAGTTATGAATGTATGCACTTACATTTGGGTTCCATTCGACAATAGTTGAATTTTTATTTGTTTTACGAAGCCACTTTTTTCCTTTCGAATTTTCAAAGTAATGTGCTGCTTATTATTTAGGCGAGGAAAAGGGACATTGTTTAAAAGTGAGAGCAAACTCGGGGCGAGTGGGCCCTATCTTTTGGAGTACCCACTTAAATATATTTACAGCGAAAAATACCTATTGGAGTCGATATGCGAAAAAGTCCGCTCTGGACTTCTTAAAGTGTAGTTCATAACCGAAGTTAGGTGTAAAATCATTTTGGTGAGATGTACTACTTTACAAACAGGGAACGCCTTTTCTCAACTGCTTAGCTTCAAGAAGTGCAGCCAACGGTGATATCCCAAGCAAGTTGTTATCAGTGTTGTTTTTTGAAGTAAGCAGAGAAGGCTTAGTGTCACGTGCTTGCGATGATATGTTTAAGCTAAGGGAAGCTGATTTCTGGTGTGGTGACCCTTTCCGAGCTTCAATCGTGTTGCGTTTTTGAGCGTAGTCCCAGGGAAAATATATACACTTGAAGGGAAAATGCGTTATGATAAATTATCATTGCTTTTATAAATTCTTTTATAAATTCTGTGTTCTATGTGAAAATCAATACTCCGTTGTATTTTATGCTCCAGAACTTACTGCATAGATTGGATCGCTACAATAAGAAGTGCTCACTATCTAGAATCTCTGTTTACGGATACGTTGATATTGCAGGATCTCCATTACGATTTTCACTGAAGACACGACTTTTCATAATTTTAGGGTTTACTGACATCGATCTGGACACGTTATGTGCTGTTCTTGCTAGAGATACGCTTCGAATAAGGGAAGCCCAGCTGTTCCAAGTATTTATACTTTTCTAGATTGGGACGTTTCATATTTCTTCTCTGTAATATTTTGATGTACTAAAGGCAGTGGTACGTTGGTCGTCTGAGGAGTGCGCTCGACGTGGTTTGGAGGCAACGACTGAGAATCGACGTGCTGTTCTTGGTCATGCTGTGCAGCTTATTCGTTTTCCTTTGATGACAGTAGAAGAGTTTGCGCAGTCAGCTGGTGAGAGTTATGATTAATCAATCTAACCTCTTGGATGAGGAATGAAATTCATACTGATTCGTCTCATTGCAATCCCGCCGCATATATTACTATCAACAACCAATGAACAAGATACTATTAACTATTGTCTTAATAGGCCTAATATTTAGACACTTGAATTACATTAGCACGAGTAGTTTAATTAAGTGAAAGTAGTAGACAGTGTTCTTCAATAAGCGCAAAGTTGTGGTTTCACTTTGTACCAATCAGTCTTGCCAACTCTGTGGTTAGGGAAATCTTTTTAAGCCTTATTCGTTACGCTTTGTGCTGGAAACGCCCTTGAACGACTATATCAGAACTTCAGGAACAATCTACTTGATTATCATTCAGCGAAATTCATAAAGAAGGCCAAACTACTCAACCAGCAACCGAACGCACTGGAAATCCAAATACCTTCGTGGAGGGATAAAGCGAGAAGAGAATCGAATAGAAGCGCTGGGATCCGTACAAAATTTTCTGATGTAAAAAAGTGCCTGACTCACACCGAGAAGGAAATAGTTGATTGTTATGTGTTTAGAGACCAAACAACTCTCAGAGTATGCCCAAGGGGTTTTAATGCTACAAAATGCTCCGTTAATAAAAGTAGTGTGGCTGCATAAAACGTTGTAGAAACCTAGTGAAGTAAGGCTGTATTCAATAGCATTTCATTATCGTTTGCTTTCAGATAAAATATTTCTTAGTTTTTTTTCGGTTTTCTAGCACAGTCTGGTTTGCTGACTGATCGAGAGGTGGTTAACCTGTTCCTTTACTTCACTGTTAATCCGAAACCGTCTATCGGATTCAATGACAAGTGAGTTATTTTATTAGATGAGCCTCAGTTCCGTATGAACGTTGCCTATATCTCTGACCTTGCCCACTGTCTACGAATGGCTACGCAGCAGAGTAGGAGAATTTATCGAAGGCAGTCTGTATGCTCTTCACCCTCTGAATTGCTCTACAACGTGACCTATAACTTGCGTAATTAGATCTGTGTAAAAAGTGATAGTGGGCGCGTGTGGCGCAGCGCTCGGAGGCGCCCTTCAACATATATGGAATCGATTACATGGAAGGAGTGCAAAATACTATTGACTTGTTCACTGTGGGCCATTTTGCATTGGTGCATGTTTTAAAGTATTACTAAGTTAACATAACCAGTAATTATAAGGTACACATGAAGGTAGCCACTGTTACTGAAGGCAGCAAAAGTATAGGTTTGTGAAAATGATTTAGGAACCACTCGCAGCATTTTAAGCGATTTACTCGACACGAAGATATTCTAGCCTGTTCTAAACACTTAGGCAACCACTGCGCAAGGAGTGGTAGAGTAATGTCTTCTTTTAAAATAAGTGGGAGTGATGTCATAGAAAATATCTGAGTTTTATCGGTTGAATTTCGAAAGAAAAGTATTGTAGTACTCACCACTTTCTTGTTTTCTTCAGTGCTAATTGTTGTTTCTAGTCCACGTTGCTCAGTAGCTGGAAAAGAATTGGTGGTCAGCCGATTCCAGCGAATAGAAGGTCGGTGGGGCTACAGCGGAACTCCAGACAGAATAAAGTAAGTACAATTGAAAATGAGATCTCATTTGCTTCCTGTATTATAAGTGAGTAGTCAATACTTTAGATTCACTGTTGATCGAAAAATCTACGTTGTTGGATTCGGACTGTATGGTGCTATTCATGGTTCTCATGAGTACCAGTGCATAATACAGGTATTTGGTCTATAAGATGATGTACGACTCTTGCATAGACCGATTTTTCAGGTAATTCATTGCGGTACAGGAAAAGTCTTGGCTCAAAACGATACGTCATTCATTTGCGATGGTTCTTCATCAACATGTCGTGTTTCCTTTCGTGAGCCTGTGGAGATTACTCCCGGTGTCACCTACATAGCAAGTGCCTGTTTAAAGGTATTATTTCTATCAAAATGAAGAAGATTAAATACTTTTTACATGGTACATTTGAACTTGGGGTTCCTCTCACATGACTCGGAATGTTTCCAGTATCGCAGTGTCAATAGCGCGTTCTGTAAATTCTATGTTTGATCTTTCACCATGCTTTGGTAGCTTCCAGTTCCACCAGGAGTGCATTAAGGCAAGAATAATCCTAAACCCGAAAAGATGGCTATAGCTGCTCTTTGTCCTCCTTGTTATATCGTGGGTCATATTGTCAGCTCCCCATGCCTTTCGTATTCTCTGGTTTATTCATAGAGCTAAATTGTTCAAATACACTTACTTCCTTACCCGGATGCACATATAGAGTGCTTAGGAACATTTATTCTGCAGAGAGGAATTGATATATTGGATACAAAATCGTTCCTTATGAAAACTGTTTCCTTGAGTGTCAACGAAGGGCCAGTATTTCCACAAGCACTGCAGAACTTGGCTTCCTTCCATCCTGTCTTACGTTTAGCTGGTAGTGTTCAACCTTCACTTACGTCTTATTATTCCATTTATTGGAAAACATTCCCAGATGTGGCTGAGCAAATTTTACTGGGTGCACAAATCAGCCGTTCATTCGAACTCTTTCTTTGAAAGAACGACAATGTCATTCTGTCATTGGAAAAGATTTATTTAATAGTCAGAGAGATGAGGTCCTTTTTCTCATCCCATTCACCGTTTCTGTTTAAAAATCAAGGTACCTGTAAGTGGAACATCCAAAAATGAGTTATCTATTGAACTTGGACGGAGTATCAGAAACAGATGGATTTCTCGTGAACATCCGTTTACTGATTTCCAACTGAAGACGATTTTTTCAGTATTCGTTCTGCCTGGTTAACTAACTAGCTTATTTCGATTTACTCAATCCAGATTTTGCATGACGTTCCAAAGCTGTTCTCGCGAAATTCCTATTGCAAACCTCCCTCTTCGTTGTAGAATGCTTTATTTCTGATTGCGAAGTTGTTATTACAGTCTATAAGAGATCTTTGTGTACTGAGGTGACGGTAAATACCCGAAAGTGGGTATCCAAGCCCTACCGTGAGGGTGAATGTACTGTGGCTAATTTGATGCGCTTTTCAGTAGAATTGGAGTTTGCTTCTTGGAGAACTTTCCGAACCATTTTTGTGTGATCCTTGTCATTTGATTGTATTCTTTTGGACGAGTCGACGTTCAGAATACAATCAACATACATTTGTACGTACAGCCACAATAGATGAATTATGTGACATGGAGGCGGAATGCAAATCAATTCAAAAAGGAACAGACGGGAAACCGATTCCTTGAATTCATTTGCTTCTTGGGTATCATGCAGATAGCTTTTAGTCTTCGCTTAAAAATATGTAGTAAAATTGTTTAGTGAGAGGGTAAAGAATAAAGGTGTCGACGTTGATCAATCCCTCAGAGATGTGCCACGCATTCCACTTCATTAAGCATCGTTTGGAGATGACTGAAAGCATATCTGGCCTTTACAATGACTCGTGATCGCCTAGCGATGTATAGACGCACTGCTGCTATCCTCGCAGACAAGTCTGCTACCACTTTGTTGTGCGCGGGGAAATGGAAGACTTGGTGAGTTTGGGGAGCGGGGATGGGTTCCATGTGCGCAGGGCGCCCTCGGCCACTGCGCCACACGCCCCCTTGTTTTGTAGTAGACAGAATGTTCGTCGTTGTAGAACTCATCATTTGTTGGGCTAGCATTGTGGTATGTAAGAGTACCCCAACACATACACATACCTAATTAAATGAAAGGCCAGAATTGGTCTTATTTACAGGGCGTGGACTCTCACTACGGTACAAAAGGACTGCGACGTATTGTACACCAGTCAGCTACTGGTGGTGTAGTCACATTTCAGTTCACCTATGCGGCTGGCAATAATAATGGAACAAGCGTTGAGGATGGTCAAATACCAGAAATAATTTTTTATACCAACAATGGTTAACGTGTGGTTTCGTGGAGGCTGTTTTCCACAGTTTCTATTAATAGTACAGTATGTTTAATCCACTGTGATTTTTCATAACTCGAGGTGTATTTTAAGAAATTTATTCTCATCATGCTTAACAGCATCGTGTAATCTTACGAAAGAAAGAATACATATTGATTAATAATGCCGAGGTTAAAGGAAAATCATTTTGAAATAAAACGTTCAGCTTTTGTAGGCTTTATGTTACGTGCTCCATCTATATGGTTACTCTTCACATAACATAAAGCACACTTCATAGTCTCATTATGTTCATATATCCATGATTATCTAAGGATGCCTATCATTGCTTTTGTCTGTGGTCGTAGTTGTTCATCCTCATTAAGCAGCTTTATGCACTTCATGTCCATCATTGAAGTCACAGGCATCATATCTTCTATGTCACTATTAACGTTAGTAAATAGTTCGTATGGTTTCAATATTTATAATTTTCAGGAAAATTTATTCCTACTTACATTGCCTAAAGCAGTAAGGGAACATGTTGAGATATGCAATTCTCAAACTAGCATTTTCTCGTGCAGCTCAGTCCGAGGATGCGTAAGCCCACTAGTTGGGCGGTAAAACTGATTATGAAGAGATTAAGCATGACTATTTGCCATTGTATAGGAGCTGTAATGAGTTCTCGTGCACTATTTTCTGAAATGTTTTCGTTACAAGTTTGAGTCACTATGAAAAATAACGTTGAAGCTAACGTTCTAGGAGTTTACAACCAAGGCTACATGCGCAGCAAAAAATGGATAAGAAGTTTTGCCTACATCAGAAGCAAATGTCGTGCCAGTGAAGATCGCAAGCGTTTTGTCCAAGTCGGGCGATAGGAATTTATAACATGAAAAAAACCGTTTGGATGCCTTATCTGCTTGGTCAGCCAAGCTTCAGAGGAGGAGATTTTCCCTGTAGCATTGAGTTGCTTTCTCCTAGCTTCATTGTATAGACGATTTGTGTCACATATATAGTTTATAGACACAATCGGTATAGGGAATAATGTGAAGAAGTAATAAAACAAGTGATAAATCACTTCGGGCCACTTTTTAAACCCCGAATGAAGCAAACGCTTCTTCAGCGAACGGTCCCACTCTGGTTCACTTTGCTGGGATGTTGAACTGCTATGGGATGCACTCTATGTATAGCTAAGGGAAAAAAAAGCGTAGGTAAGGAAATCGTTAGGAGATCTCCACTTGTACTCGTCTTATGTACTGGTGACAAAAGAAAGTATCTGAAGCAAGGAATCAGTGGCGTATTAGGAGGAACTGAAAATTTCATGAAATTTGGAATAAAAACTTCCAACTTTTAAGAAAGGACCGTGAGTATAGTCTCGCGCTGCGGTGTGTTAGAAAGCTCACAGAGTTCTTGCTTAGATACCTAATCAAGTGAACCCTACCAATCTGGTTTCATATTTTAACTTTATGTTATTGGGCATCATCATATTGAATCATTACAGAAGTCAGCTACCATGGAGCAGGGCAATATTTCAAAAGTCACTTTCCTTTAACGTCGGTGTGACTGATCAACATGTCTGTCTCTGTCAATCGAGGTTGAAGGAAAGTTGATTTTGAAATAACGTTCCAAATCTTCTACTGCCGTGTGATAATGTCTATTACACGCGATTTTGCTAGTTCCGATCTCCCTTGGATTATCTGTGACATTATGATCACTTGCGGACTACACGTTTTTGAAAAGACATACATCAGACCTCATTTATTTCTTCGCCAAGAAGTCGTTGCAGTTTTGAAGAAAGGATATCCGATAGTCATCTATATGTTTAGGAAAGCCGTAAACTATTGTAGCAACTATCCTGTGGATTCGAAAGACCGACTTTCTGTAAACCTCGGCATAGATTGTTGATATATTTATTTATGTGATCTTATAAACTGATCTTCTTAAGCTGACGCGAGGTTGGTACAGGTCTTCGTTGTCGTTGTAGTTGTTGTTGATGCTATTGATCGATGGCTGACATTTCGGCGACTTCGCCTTCCTCAGAGCCGTGATGTTACGTGTGGGACTAGTCCCGTTAGCTTGAACACGTTCACCTCTCACGATTGAGCTTGACAGCCTACGTGTGAGTATTTATCGCTACCCTAAGTAAGCATAGATCTTCCATGAATTCCATAACAACTTAGATTTCAACATACTACAACGACATAATCCCACACGTAACATCACGTTTCTGAGGAAGGCGAAGTCGCCGAAATGTCAGCCATCGATCAATAGCATCAACAACAACTACAACGACAACGAAGACCTGTACCAACCTCGCGTCAGCTTAAGAAGATCAGTTTATAAGATCATGTAAATAAATATGACGACATAATCGTTGACGTAAAGAGTGTCCTCGACAAGGCGACACCATCTCTCCAAAACAGTCACTGTCAAAAATATTATGCAAAAAATGGATAGCTGGTTCGAATCACTATGGCTCGCAAGAAGGGAAAGGGCGCCGAAATGTTAACCGCAGCAAGCAGACTTTTATAACAACCTCCTGCAAGGGTGCGAATAGAATAAAATATAGTGTAATTCTTTATTACTAGGTCCTCAATCACCACGTAAAACTAAGTAGTATGTGGCTTCTGCTGAGGTAAAGCTGAGCGAAAATCGAGAAAATTTATTAGCAGTGAAAGCAAACATTGATGAGCCATTGTTAATGTGTCACAATTTATGTGCTAAAGTGTACGCACGGAAATATTGCACTATAAAACAGAGTTTACAGTTGACATTACTTGTATCAAAGGAAGTGATGGGACGTCAGAAGTGCACCGACAACAAGAAGAAAAAGCGATTCGATTGACGTCGATGAAAGACAAGGGAAGATAAAGATCGGACTATGGTGTTGTTTTGAATCTGGTCCCGAGGCAGCAGTGGGACACCAAGCTAAGCGGTTCTTTGGTTTTTGTACGTTAAAAAACCTGTAGAAGTAAAGTTTCAAATATTGCGCAAATTTTTACTAATAGACCATATCCGGATAAAGAGGTGGCTGTAATTGCACAGCCCATTGAAATTATTCAGTTGCCTAAAGAAAAAAGTACTAACGACCCGTTTGAAGTACTCTATAGTCTGGATCCATTCTATTCAGGAATATTAAACTGGTAAATTTGACTTTAAGTGAACGCAGTGAGAGGGATCTCTAATCACTACATGTCAGTTTCTTAGCGAGTTACGAGATCAGTTCGTTAACGACTTCGCTTCAATTCGTTACGCTCGAATGTCAGAACTAAATCCTTGCGCTCTACTGGGTGAAAAATATGTGGTCAATGAGCATTGTTCGACGATGGGAATCTACGACCTAGTTTTTGCTACGAAGCTTACAAGAAATAAATAAAGAGATAAATAGATAACCTTTTCGGAACCTCTTACTTGTTTATAAACCTGTATTCCCTCCATGGATTTTACTTACTTACCTAAGGATTTTGCAATGCATAAACGTTATCTTCTATCTCAGTTCCATTAGGAAACTTAAGACCTATGCGGTCATGAGAAGCACAAAAGAGACTTGAAATGTGTTTTGACGAAAATTTCCCTCCTAGAGTCTTTGCTGAGTGAATTTTTAATGTTACAGGCTACTTCGAAAATACTAGAACCCTAATTTGTACCCATAAAAGAAGTGAACTGAAAGTCATTAGAAGTAAATTCTTATAGATTGGGTGCATTTTTTATGGCGAATACAAAGGAGAAGAGAAAACAGTAAACAGACGTATCGGGAAGATGAATCTAATAGAGAATTAAGGGATAAACTTAGCTAAATGCAATCCTCATCAGGTTCCACTAGTAACAGTTAAGTTTTCTGCTCGTCCATAGACGAAACTAAAGCCTATGGGGGCAAAGTCCTTGCAAGTGAAAAATCTCATAACCTATGTGTTTCACGAGAACCACTGATTCATGATCATGATATGTGCCAGAGTGGCATGAACCACGAATTTGTTTCATGGTGTCCTACTGGCTGAATTCGGTGGTGGTTTGTTTTGTTTCGTCTAACACTGATTGAGTTCAGTACACCATAGCGCTTCGATGACTTGCTGATCGACGAATTTTGCTAGCTCGGCAATCTTCTTGTCAGCCATATCATAACAGTTCTGTTGTGACAAGCCGTTCGGTAGCTTTGAACATACTGTGTTCGCAAACGAGTGTATATCCGCCTAGAAAACGTTTTCTGAAACTCCTCTCGTATATGAACTGAAAACTGGTTACTCGTCGGACTAATTTTCTGTCCGTTCTAACGATAAATAACCTTTGCCGTTACCGCGTAGTTCTTGGCGTTTTCCAGCATTCGTTCACAGAAAGCACATGTGATTCGCTTCTCTTCCTGGAAAGAAATAACCACAGAAATTTGAGAAACTGTTTAAAAAAGGAAAACTAAACAATATTGTTATCGGGATAATTTCTTAAACAGGTAGTGTGAAGCACGAAGTATAGTATTTCATTTATTTTTATTTAGTTTTATTTCACTCATCTTCACGTCTACTGTGCGGATCCCAGCACTTCTCACGCCTAATTCGTTTCCTCGCATCCACTGTCCACGAAGATCTACCAGCTTTACATGTGGCTTCAGTTGCTGCTTGAGGATTTTCATTTCATCTTGAATGTCGAAGAATACTGGTCTAGCAATTCTTCCTCGTGTCCTAAGATAGCCGGGCTGGAGCGTTCCTAATTAGATTGCAGAGAGTGATTATTTTCCCAGACAAGTTCGGTACCAATTTCGCGAACGCGGAGGGATGAGAGGCTTGACTGGTCCGGAGAGAAATCGAATTGGAACCATACTCGTGATGAACGACATCCCTACCACGGTGCTATGCGCCCCATTGAAGTATAGTTTGAATTATAAGACTTCATTCATAGCACTGCTGTATTTCTCTTTCAGTTCTGTGAATCTTTTGCCTTAGTTAGCCATAATGTGTCCTAATGTGAGCTATTAAGCCTAGTTTTAATGTCAGGTATTAGATAAGAATACAAGTACATTTTTGTCTGACTCTTCCGAAATGCGTTGCGCTCCTAACCGATCCTGTTTTGCTCTACTAGGGTAGTTTGTACGAGTAGTGGGTTCTAGGTCTTCTTCATCTTCAAAAGTGCTTGTACTTTTCGACATCGCTGATGGAAATTCTTCCGTTCGAGGGACGGCGGCCTGAAATCCATACAGTGGTGAACTTCAAAGTTAATCAGTAACTACTCACGAACAACGGAAAATCGATCATTTTTATTAAGCCGTAGTAAGTGGAAAGATAATAGTTTTAGCAATAAATCAACCACTTGGCGCTAAATTATTTGTGTTTAAATTGCTAAGTTTTAAATAACTAGATAAAGGATTCCACGCCCCTGTTGCAGGGCGCCTCTGACCACTACACCACACGCACCCTTAATAAAACGAATAAATAGAGAAAACTTTACGATATGACACACTTATCAGTCACAACTTGCCGAACGGTCGTAATTTTGGAAGACTGTACAGATTCCTAGGCGTCACCAGTATGCAAGATGAGGACATACAGAATGAAAACAACGGCTATAGTAAAATAAGTAGAAAAGGTTGCCATCAAACCGACCGCAAGCGGATTGTTCTCATCGCAGATGTTCAATCGAACACAAATGCCCTTCGTTGAGAAGTCGTAGTTAAGAGAAAAGTAGATTTCCGGCAAAGACTTCTCAACAAAAGTGAAACATTGCCCCTAAATTAAATTATCAAAGAAGGCGTGCAAACTTTTCTTCCAAGTTTAAAGGGAAGAAGGTGAAACAGAAAGATACGATATATATTCCTGCGCAAATGTGAAAGATGGACTACGCTACATTTAACTGTTCCTCTTCCCATGAACACTTCATTTTGCCCCTGTATCAACGAGGACTTGGTATATTAGGATATTGTTAAGTCATAATCATAGGCAGTTAGCAATCTTTATGAATCACAGTAATAGTAAATAGCATGTCAATACAATTCTCTGATAGATACAGCAAAAGTCCAGGCCTACTCCTGGCTGTGATTTTACATGTAAATATCGATCTAATGTACTTGAAATTTTGAATGTCCCAGGATTAACATAGGAGTTTGGAGACATGTCCCCTTCATTACGCCCAGCCATATGATATCATATGACATGACATTTCCTAACATGGTACGATAGTGCTTGATAACAGACGAAGCGATAAGATAAGCGACATTTTGCGCGGTATGATAGAACAAAAAGCCGAATATAAACATAAATGTAAATATTATTCTCCTATACCTATCAAGGGATATATTAGAGGTTTTCCAAATGCAACTTCTCCAATGAGCAGAGTGCTGACAAACTACCTTGAGAATAACGGGTAGCGCTCGACATTTATCATGTAGTGCGGCTCTTAGCTGATTCTGACTTAGGCCGACTCGATGCTTTGTCACCGAGAGCAACTGAGAGCAGAAGAAGCACGCCAGATTTGATGACGATGGCGAAGGCGAACTTGACCTGAAATTACCAAAAAATCTTAAATTCTCAGTAAAATTTCGTTTATTCGCTCGAATGCATTAAGTCCACAATAACATTTAACGTTTTGGTTTTTTTTAGCACTCGAATCTTTTTAGATATGTTAGTAATTAGCCAGAATTTTTGAGAAAATAGTGTAAATGTAGCCGAGCAGAAGAAATCTCGTTTAAATTTGTTGAAATTTGTTCCACAGATCCGTCGAATTAAATGTTCTCATTTTAAACAGAGCTTGACGAGATTCAATGTAGTGAAGCAACCACCATCTATGAGTTGCTAACTAGCAGTGGATTTTGCTCATTGGATTTGTTAGCAACTATCACAAATGGGTGTAGCGGAACGGTCGAAGATGCCTTGCTGGTCCACCAGGTCCTCTATTCCTCCAGGATCGGCAAATTGGTACCAGATTTGTCTGGGGAAATACCAGCACTGACTCGAGATGTTATTAAGCCACCGCGAATCACCGTATAGGCCAGATCTGCATTCAGTCACATCCAGCGATGCTTAATGATGTCGAATGCGTGGCGCATCCCTCAGGGACAGATCAACACCGAGGACTTTGCCCTTTTATCTATTTTATCACAAATTTTACAAAGTAAGTGATAGTTTGTTCAAAGAATTCTAAAAGAATTTTCCACCTTTAACAATTTCTATCTCAACCATCTATTTGCATACAGAGCTCTTTTGAGAAACTACAATATATTATCTTCTGGACTGACGTCTCGTCATGAGTCATTTAATGCCGATCACAGTTCTGCTGCAAATGATTACATGGCTTATACAGGATTAGGGTAATTTAATAATCTATGAGTCGTTGAAAATCGACCATAAAGACCGCACGCTATTGAGAAATCGACCATAAAGACCGCATGCTATTGTGATTTTAATCCCTCATTTGTGAGCGAAGAGATGTGGTGTGCTCAGGGATGCTCTGTTTCTAGTTCTATTTAATGAAATTAAATTTCAAGTCAGCAATCGATCCAGCGGTTTTGTACGTTAGGACCACGTTTGAAATCTCCCCTTAGCACAAAAGCGAAGAAGCGTTAGTTTAATTGGTTTCAATGAGAAACCACAATCTTCTTGCTCCCATTTATTTAAGGATAAATATGTTTTAATTAAGACTGATGAATGAAGTTATGGACTCTCTTTGGATATCGACAAGAAGTTCTGATAAAACAATAATAAATAACATCAATCAAACGAAAAGAGCTTTGAGGAACGTGACTAATTGCACGAACACCACACCATCTTGGTTGACAACTTAGGAATTTAAAGAATTTGTAATGAATAGCGGAGTAAAAACTTCACTGGAGTCGCAGATGACTGCAGGGTTTTCCATCCACTGTGGTTGTTTTCGTTACATCAACGATAGTTTTTAACTTCACGATGATGTAAGCGAAAACTCTGAAAATGTCCATCGTTGCAGAACAATTCTATTGTTCGCACCTCTGTCACGTATGACCAAGACAAATTTCTAGGACAATCTTTAATAATTAAATAAAAATAGAAACAGAGCATCCCTGAGCACACCACATCTGTTCTGCCACAAGATGTCAGGCTTGTCAGGTTGTGGCTTAGAATTGAAAGAAGAGAGCTTAAGAGACTTTATCAAGCATCTCCACTTTCGTACACTGTTTGATTTCTTGTTGTTTTAACCTATTTTTTGTCACTAACCGTTCATTAGGAATGTTAAGGTCCTTCGTATCACCACCCCAACCAAAGTAGGCGCTCGTAACTCCGACCAGCGACAGAGTGATCACTGAAAATCTTGAGATATTCTGAAGAGAAGCAGCCGATTTTCCATTTCGAATGATAACTCGGTCTGAACCAGTAGGACTTTTGATTAAGACAAAAAATGAAATGAAATAAAGTAAATTAAAATATAATAAAATAAGACATGAATATGCTGTTGTTACGACATTTGGCTTCTGATTGCTTTTCGTAACCTAAACCGTTCTTTATCATCGTTTTCTTTTTGGGCATGATTCACTAAAAATCACGGCAATATTCTTATGAGAAACAGTCTGTGTCCTTGTAATGAACGAAGTTAAAATTCGGTCTAGATGTGAATTCTTCTGGTTCAGATCAATTTCATAAATGTTTAGTATGAATAAATCCCGCCTAAAATCCCTTGAATCAGCGCGCTCTACAAATAACTACAATGAATCCGTAACCGTATGTTTCTGATGCTTCCGATGCTATAACGTTCGTCGAAGCCGCGCTTAATAAGATGACTTCGTTCATTTTCTTCAATGTCACAACAACATTTTTTGCAATTTCCATTAACTGCCATTAAGTATGGCGTCCAAAAAACCCAACTTCGGTTGTTTTTACCTTGACAACATCGCTGACTTCAATAGTAAGGTCACATCAATTAGTAGCAACGAGGAGGCAACGACCCTATGTGACGTCCTCTCGCTGACATCCGCACGGAATCGACGGCGATCATGCTCGCATACACGTGAAAAATTGAATCATCAGTTAACACTGGAGTAATCGACATCGATCTTCTTCTTCTTCTTCTTTTCGACATTCTTCATGGCATAGTAAATGCTCGGATGATCGCGCATACTTAGTCTCTATTAGAATCTAATCAAGTGAATGATATGCTAACGACGCAGAAGTTCAAATACAGATATTAAAGCGAAAACGTTCTGACAACTCCTAATGGTCAGTTAGGAAAACAAACACCCTAGATGAACTTCTATAAAGTAATGTGCTTAGAGAAGGAAAGAGCTGTAAAGGTCTGTCACTCACCGATACTCTGCTTAATAACGTGACACCATCTAACTAACGCGTACTCCATCCAATAGAATGAGCAAAGAAGCTCATGTTAAGTAAACTCGTGTTCTACACGACCGTCTTCTTTGTCAATGTGTGTCTCAGACTTCGCAAGGAGAAAGTTTTCAGTTGTGTTAAATACTTAAAGAAATGGAAATTACGTCATTCTAGAAGGCCATCGGCATAGGAAATACATTGCTACTGCTTCCTTGTCTTCTGAAGTATTTTGACCAAATTGTTGCCCACGCAGACAATCTATCCGTTCAATAACGGCGGATGTTGTACATACATGCACTTCTTTCGCCCGATACATAATTATTTGTTCTAGGTCGTCCGAGTGCATGCGATGTTTGCGGTTCGCCATAACCGCACCTATCCACTCTTCTGTAATGACCTGTGCTTGTGTACTTTTGAGCGAAACAAAAACTTCCATTCGAAACGAGTCGATAACCAAAGTTCTTGTGCTAGGCAAGAATTGATCAAATCAAATGGGATTGTGAGTTACGAGGAGCGGAAAATCATCAACGATTCATGTATGGACGACACTTTCGCTCGAAAGCCCAACCAGAAGGAAAGATAACGACGATGAAGCATCGCGTACTACCCGTGGCTGCTTTCTCGCTAAGAATAGCGAAAATAAAGAGCCTTATCCACAATTTGTATCACCGTTCGTATCACTCGAACGATCGTAGTCCAGTTAGTACCTTCAATGCGATACAGGTATGAATAGAGTTTTTATCAGATGAAGAACTGGATTGTGGGAAATGCATGTGATATGTGAACTTTTTTTTACAAAAAGAATGTTTTATGTTAATGTACTCGCTGCTGTGGGTAACAAAAATCTGTGGAAGTACTTTATCGCATTCAACGAGTTCAATTCGAGAGTTGTCAGAAACTAAATGAAGCAGACCTCCTCCTTGAACTCACAAAGTTCTACTTATTTTAAGAATAATTATAGTTACCTCTAGTGCTCTAACGTTATCTCTCACGAAAGTACAAATACCTAAAGAATCAAGCTATTTGAGAAGAATATAAAGGTTGCCACAGTCGTTCTAAAAATCGACCAGAGGGCAACATCTAGAATTTCTGGATAGAATGGCAGAAGTCGTGGGATAAGATTTCCCGACTTATACTCTAAAGTCACCATATGCTCTCGGAATGCTCAAGCTCAGGAACGGAGTTGTGCCTGTAGGGAAATGAATGTAAAGACCAAATCACTTACCGGAGCACTAGCGTTAGGGGATACTCATGTAATGAAGTGCTTATTCTGTCTGTATTCACACAGCTGAAGAAACTTATTTTATTAAAGGATAAGGGACAAAGTGATCGACATATATTATTTCCTGAGAAATGCATTATGCATTCGACTCCATTCGTGTCTCTCCAGAAATGACTGGATGCACATTTGGCCCATACAGTAATAACTTGTGGTGGACTACTGGATTAACAAATCTGTCTTTTCTCCCTACACAAGTACGATGACAAATTGCCACCCTGAAGGAATGGAGGGCACTGAGTGGGATATAAAGCGATTGACCGATAGTGTTTGTATTGTACCCATAACTACTGCGCCACATGTGCCCTTTGCTACTTTACTAGTTTATTAAAAAGCCCTAGGTGGACTAATAATTGTGTATTGACCTCCTTTATTATTACAGTAATTAAGTGACGGCTCAACCTCTTTCATTATCACATTAATTAGGTCAAGTAAATCAGGGCCTCGATAAGGTAGTTAATCAGAAAACCTAGTGTAAAACTAAAGTGAACGAAAGAGCATTTTCATTTGTAACGACGGCGGTTTCTACCACTTACATGAAATGCAAGTTGAATGTAGATGGAATAAGCGAAAAAGAAGAAGGACTCCAATGCAGACAGTCTTGCTCCGTTTTTTTTTACAATGCGAAATTTCCTCAATTTAGTATCGAGACCTCGCTGAAGGAATCCCTATAGAAGTGCCGTATCGGCGGCTTTGCTGGACTCTCGTGAGTATGCAGATTGTACGACATGGAGGTGTTTAATTCGGGGTTATAGGAAACTAGCTGGATTATTTTGGAAGAGTTCTTAGTTCATGTTCACTGGTAATCTTTTACGCATTAGAATTCATCGAATCATTATCATTGCAAAACACAGGTGTTTTTTGATCTATAAAGAACCGCTGACATCACTAGATTTCACGTTTGCTGACGTCACCGACTGAGTCCGAACGCATCGTACAGGTAGGCGTGCCAAGTGCATTCATCGGTCTCATATGTTACGTTGACCTAATCGTACAAGAGTTAGTGGGAATCGCTACATCGCCGGAAGAATAGACATGAATCTAACAGTAGAAGAGGTTTGATGAAGGAATAAAATCTTGAATAGGACTTTTGATGTATCGTGTGCTTCGCCACCGTTTTGAGCGATAATTGCATTGTGATGTTCATTATGAGTGTCGAAGTGAACAACCTCCATGAATTTACATGATTCGGCGAAACGAATCCAATCAGGAAATATGAGCAGTTCCACTTAACTCAAGGAGTAAATCGCTGTCTTTAGTAACAACGAAAAGAAAGTAGAAGGTTGCAAAACTGATGATATCCGTGGTATTCATGAAGAGGGTTAGAATACTTCCGTCTTTACCCTACTCACTGGATTACCAGAGACCAGATATGAAACTCGATGACGATAATGAAGCACCATTTTTTGAAAGGGGGACTAAGGCAATCCCTAAAGGTTTCCCTTAATCAGATATCAGAAGAAAAAATTTTGAGCAATGATTCAAAAAATTGTGGGGCATGTAGAAGTTATAAAAGTACAGTTATGGAATTCAAACCTCAGCCATACTTGCAAACTTTCCGCTCAGAGTTTTGAAAGC